TAAAATTGATTTTTTTTTTCAATTTCATTCCTTAGCATTTTATTTTATTTAATATTTTTATCTCATGTATTTTATTTTATTTAATATTTTTATCTCATTTGGTCCCATTATTTTGATTGTTATTTTATAATTCTTTTGATTTATTTTATTTTTTAATTTAGTCTCTTATTATTTTCTTTCATTTAGTTTTTATGGGTTCTCATTGTTTCTATTACTATTTATTTTGTTTTTAATTTTTTTAATGATTAATAATTTTACTGCATTATTTTTTTATATTTTCCTTCTATGAGATAATCCCGGTCTTATGACCCATGTCATTGGTTTAAAAAATTAGCCCGATTTAACTTCAGTCTCTCTTAGGTCTCTTTTTAAATTGATTTTTTTTTATTTCATCATTTGACATTAAGTTACTAGACTTCGAGTTTGATGAATTTTTTTTTGTTTTTCTTTCTATGAGGTTATCTCAATTTCATATTTTGAGTCACGAGTTAGTCGAGTTAACTTGATTTTTCTATTTTGAGTCACAGGTTAGTCGAGTCAACTCGAGTTTTTTTGTCTCTCAACATTTCTTCTTTTAAAATTTATTTATTTTTTCAATTTCATACTTCAACATTAGGTTATTGGATCTTGAGATTCATGAATTGTTTTCTTTTTTTCTTTGAGGTTATCTCAATCTCATATCTTAGGTCGTGAATTAGTAAGTTAATCTAGGTTGTTTAGGTTTTTTTAATATTTTTTAATTGATTTTTTTTTTTAGTTTCACATTTTATCATTTAGTTTGCTTGAGAATTAACATTTATTTTTATTCAATTTCTTTTATACACTATTATCTCGATCTTATGATCGGGCCGTAAACTTGTCATGTTGACTCAAATCAAGCTTTTTTGTTTTTTTTTAATTATTTTTTTAGTTTATCCTTTAAGATTTGATTTAATAGTAATTAATTTTTTTTTAAAATTTTTCACTTTATGAGGTTATTTCATTCTCATTTAATTTTTACTTTGTTATCAAATAAGATCATTGAGGTGTTTTAAAATATTTAAAGTGTATTTTTTATAATACTGACAAGCATTTATTTTTCTCGATTAGTTATTGGTTTTTTTTGTTTGCTTTTTTTGGTCATATTATTGAATTAACCAAAATTATTGAACTTATTTGAATCAATGATTAGGATCTCAATTTTTTTTAATTATTTAAAATACTATCATTGCTTCGTGTATTCTTTTTATATGTTAAAAAGAATTTGACTCGGTATATAATGTAGTGAGTACAACCTTTTTAGTCATTGACTATTAAAATTCCTTGAGGATTTATATAAAAATAGCAATCATTTAATAACAATATTGTCTATCATCCTTATTCCAAATTAATAACTAAATAAAAACTAAATAAAATATCTATAAACTATAGTATTATATACCTATATTAGATGACGGCATACATATCAAATTTCATATGCCCATATCACAAATATAAATTTTGAAACTTTTTTATATATCAAAACAAACCAGGATCACTAAATCGAATTTATTCAATTAAGATTAAAATAAAAATTAATTTAAATTTAATAAATCATCCAAACTATAAATTAATCAAATAATAAATAGTAATAGATTATAAAATATAATAAAATTTCATGTAACATATACAACACATATAAATATTAAACTATTTTTTTAATATTATCTTTCTACCTTATTTTGACATTTAAACATTAAATTTTTGCAATGCCAAAAAATTAAATTAAATAGTCAGGTCATATGATGAAACACTAGCACCAAAGGTTAGTTAACAACTAATCAAATTAAATTTATTGATACTCATTTTTTTTCTTGTTTCAAATAATAAATAATAAATAAATAAAATCTTGATGCTAAATTATAGTAGCTCTCCTCTCGCTCCTATATTTGCAGCCGAAAGAGTGGCTTAACTTATTATTATGTCATGGGTTATAATTTATTTAATAATATCTTATGTTTAACAAGGTGAATAGAGCTCCAGTATAATGAAAAATACACAACCTTTATATGAAATAAATTAATATGGTATCTTTAAAATCACCTGCAAAAATAACTTCCCAATTGATACACAATCTAGTCAAAATATTCCTTTTAACTCGTTTTCCTTTTTTTTTAAAATAACATGTCCATTAAAAAAAATCTCATTTAAAATCAAATAACTGATGAATCAACCTTTTTATTTATTAAAATATAAGAGAAATCATCTGTATCCCAAAATCTAATTCCTAATTTGTTCACTAAACTAATTTGAAATTATTTCAAATCATAATTAATCAAATCATGTTACAACTCGAATTTATGCACATTAGAAATATCTTTGCAATTTCATGGGTCTTTGACATCATCCATGTGGTGTGAGAATTCAAATTTTATTTTATAAAAAAATCATTTATCTCTGTGATTCTCCATAAACAAAATAATAGGATAATAATTAATTATTGATCTTGTTGCATTTGACATTTAAGAGATCAATAAAAAAGATAATTTTAAAAAATAAAATTTTCAACTTAATTTTGATTGAGAATTGAAATTAAAAAAAATAAATTAACACTAGTATAATAAGTTTTATATAAAAAAATTGATTGTATAATTTAAAAAAATTGTTGTCATCCTAAAGGATTATTGTAGTGAGGTTATGCTTATTTTTAATATAAAAAAATTTATTATATAATTTATAAAGGTGTCCCTTTTCTATCTAGACTTGACTTGCTAATTGATTAATAAATATTTTCTTTATAATTCTAATATTGTGATTTAAAGATTGGAAAAGACTAAATCTCCATGTAAAATATTTTTAGATAATTAAAGGCCAATTGAGAGGATGAACTTACATGTTGAAGTCCACTTTCAAATTTAAACATATACCATAACCAAATTTACTAAACAAGAATTTTAGTTCCAAAACCAACCTTTCAAAAAAATAAAAATAAATTACAAGTTCAAAACTTATTAATAAAGAATCCAAAATAATAAGGATATAGGCTTTAAGTCCAAAGGTATTCTCTCTCTCTTTATATGTATCTTCAAAATCATTTTTTTAATGGTACAATAAAAAACATGAAATGGATAAAATAAACCAAATCAAACCACAATAACACCACTACCACCAAATATTAGAACAAAATTGATATCAAATCCTAGATCTAAGACAAACACCAAACAATAAATAAAATTGTAAATTAGAAGCAAATAGCCTGATGTAACTTTAGTTTTTTTAGATCCTCTTTTTAAATTGATTTTTTTTAAAATTTTACCATTTGATATTAGGTTAGTGGTTATTGAGTTTCATGACTTTTTGTTTTTCTATAAAGTTATCTTGATTTCATATCCTTTTCTTCTTTTATTTTTTTTTCAATTTTATCTTTCAACATTAGGTTATTGGATCTTGAGCTTCTTTTTTTTTTCTTTGGGGTTATATCATTTTCATATCTTGGATCGTGAGTTAGTTAAGTTAATCTAAGTTGTTTAATTTTTTTTATATTTTTTAATTGATTTTTTTTTCAGTTTCACATTTTATCATTTAGTTTGCTTGAAAGTTAACATTTATTTTTATTCATTTTATTTTATATACTATTATCTCAGTCTCATGATCGGGCCGTGAACTTATCATGTGGACTCGAATCAGACATTTTTGTTCTTTTTTAAAATTGAATTTTTTTTAGTTTGTCCTTCAATATTTGATTTACTAGTAATTAAAATTTTATTTTTTTAAAAGTTTTCACTTTATAAGGTTATTTCATTCTAATTTAATTTTTACTTTTTTATCAAATAAGATCATTGAGGCTTTTTTCAAATATTTAGAGTGTATTTTTTTAATAATATTAACAAGCGTTTATTTTTCTTGATTAGTTATTGATTTTTTTTATTTTTTATTTTAATTATATTATTAAATTAATTAAAATTATTGAACCTATTTAAATTAATGATTAGTATCTCAAATTTTTCTTATTCATTTAAAAATACTATCATTGCTTCGAGTATTCTTTTTATAGTATAGCATATTTAGTCATTGACTAAAAGCTTCCTTGTGGATTTATATGAAAATAGCAATCATTTAATAATAATATTGTCTACCATCCTCATTCCAAATTAATAATAAATTAAAAACTAAATAAAATATCTATAAACTAAAGCATTACGTACCCACGTTGGATGAGGGCACACTTATCAAATTTCATATGCCGGCATCACAAATATAAAGTTTGAAACTTTCTTATGTATCAAAACGAATCAGGATTACTAAATCATATTTATTCAATTAAGACTAAAATAAAATTAATTTGAATTTAATAAATCATCGAAACTATAAATTAATCAAATAATAAAGAGTAATAGATTATAAAATATAATAAAATTATCATGTAACATATACGACATATATAAATATTAAACCAAGAATAATAATTTTGTCCATTTATATTTCTAGAGTTGAAAGGTGAATCCAGCTGACATTCTTCAGACGAATAGTAATTTCAAAATCAAAGTAAGTTTATAGGGTAATGATTCATGTTTAAATTTGACCTTCGCAATTTTGGCCTTTTAGTTTTGCAGCTTCTAGAGTTATTATTTTAAGCTAACGGATGGAGTTCTGGCTTCTTAATTGTTATATATATATTATTGTTTTTTCTGCTCAACTTGATGCATACTTTCTTGCAGCACGATTTGTTAATGTTTTTGAGAGTCAACCAAGCTTATATATCTGCACAAAATAACATGATTTTGTCAAGTGTCTGCTTGAGCCAGACAAATATCTTGGTTTTATAATCGAGTGTGAAGGTTCTTCAATGAATTGTTAATAACCAGAAATCTTTTGCGTGAGTTGTCAAGTATTTATTCCGTCTGTATCTGGATGTTCAATTGTCTATAGTATCTGGCTACGGTGCTGGTATATAGTTTTTTCAACTCCTTGGTAATGTTGAAATCCAAAAGAATAGAGGGCAGAGTTTGCTCATTGGTGATGTGATTTTTATATCTGGCTACGGTGCCGATATATAGTTTTTTCAACTCCTTAGTAATGTTGAAATCCAAAAGAATAGAGGACAGAGTTTGCTCATTGGTGATGTGATTTTTCTTTCTACTCTCTATGATCTGAGAGATGGACGGTATTCCTTCCATCATCTTCTTGTTCTGTAACATACTGCTTCTTACTCGTTATGGTTCTTCATATCCGTTGTGCACTGATTTAAGTGAGTGTTTCTTGTGTATTATTTACTCTTCTTTTTTCTTTTTCCATTTTGGTTTGCTTCTGAATTCCAATGATTTTGTTTTGATTATGATTATTTTTATTCTATTCTTTGATTCGGACCTTTTCCTTTTGCTGAATCAGGGTCTCCCTTTATCCCGAAATCACCTCTCGCTTTCTGTCAATACAGTGGAAGTGTTTGCTGTAACTCCACTGAAGATGTTGAGTTGCAGAAACAGTTTAAATCATTGAATGTTTCTGGTGATGGCTGTGCTTCTCTTCTGAAATCAACACTCTGCTCAGTAAGTCTGTCAACCTGATAGTTGTTATGTTCTCATCTTTTTTCACACTTGATGCTTGAAGAAACCTTGGCTGGTGCCTAATTGTTGTTTTTGTTGAATGAAAGAATGATTGACTAAATGTATTACAAGCTTATCGGACTTTCAATTAATTAGTCAGTTAACAATGGTTGAAAACTGCATCGTATAGAGATATCCAAGTGCAGGATTTTTTTATTCATTGATCAGTTCTTGAAACTCGTAGAGATATCCAAGTGCAGGATTCTTTTATTCATTGATCAGTTCTTGAAACTCCTAGAGTTGCCCTTATCTTGACACCCCATGTCATTGTCAGCCTGAGGCTGACTAATCTTTTAAGTTCTAGTCATATGAGGCATAAGATAAAAACCAAACATGTAGCAGATTTCAGGACATCTTTGAACTGCATTACATGCTTTGAATCATTGATTTTGGCAGAGATGTGATCCGTTTTCAGCAGAGCTTTACAGAATTGTATCGGCTCCTCGTGTTGTTCCTGTCCTTTGCAACTCCACAGTTTCAGTAAACTCATCCCAGTCCCTTGCCGCTACAGACTTTTGCTCAAAAGTTTGGGATGAATGCCATAATTTATCCATATCAAATTCTCCTTTCGCGATAGACAAAGGTGAATCTGTGGTTAATTCTTCTTCCAAGCTGACGGAATTATGGGAGTCAAAGGGTGCTTTCTGTAATGAGTTTGGAGGAGCTTCTGACGGTGGTTCAGTATGTTTCGATGGTGGACCAGTTTCACTAAACAGTTCTGAAAGTCCAAGTCTCCCTAGTGGTATCTGCCTTGAGAAGATTGCGAACGGATCCTACCTTAATATGGTAGCTCATCCTGATGGGTCAAACCGTGTCTTCTTAGCAAACCAACCGGGTAAGATTTGGTTGGCTACGGTTCCTGCTGAGGGATCAGGAGAAACTCTAGGGATTGATGAATCAAACCCTTTTCTTGATTTGACCGACGAAGTATATTATGATACTCAATTGGGGATGATGGGAATAGCTTTTCATCCAAATTTTCAACAAAATGGACGTTTCTTTGCTTCTTTTAACTGTGATAAGGTAAAATGGCCGGAATGTTCAGGAAGATGTTCATGTAACTCTGATATGGGATGTGATCCTTCAAAGCTTCCCTCTGAGAATGGAGCGCAACCTTGCCAGTATCACAGCATCATAGCAGAGTTCAGTGCAAACGGTACCTCATCGCAACCTTCCTTGGTAAAGATCTGAAAGCTTTTTTTTCCTCTCTCTCTTGGTTATCAATTACTACAGTTCATATAATCATTTCGACCTCAATTGCAGGCAACAAGTGTGCAACCACTGGAAGTCAGAAGAATATTTACCATGGGTTTGCCATTTACTGCCCATCATGGTGGTCAGATACTTTTTGGACCTGAAGATGGATATTTGTACTTTATGATGGGAGATGGTGGAAGTATTGGTGATCCTTACAATTTTTCACAAAACAAGAAATCATTGCTCGGAAAAATTATGAGGCTGGACATAGACAACATTCCAAGTAAGTATTGGTTTATATAAACGCTCATTATTGGGATTATAGCCCCAAATGGTTTTGAACACAATATAGGCTCTTTTTTGGATACGTGAGGAAAAATCTACTTAAAAATCTTTCTATATCTGGTATCCATAACCATAAAGTGTTTGTTTTTGTGGAAAAATAAAAACATGCTTGCGAAGAAATATGAGAAGCACTGTCAGTCCAAAGGGCGCAGAGGTACTAAACTGTTAGTCTATTGACTAATGATAATGAACACGCTGACTTGTGATAATGCCAAATACAAATGAAAAGAAATGGGTTGATTTCTTTCAATGTGCAAACAAACAATCAATTTCAACGATTTTTACAGTTCAGGTGTCGGAACTATATTTTTCTGATGAAAGCGCGCAGGAACTTGACAGAATTAAGTTTCTATTAGCTTTTGTTGCTGGAGATTTTCTCCTAGTGGAGTAAGTTGAACAAAGTTGTCATATGGAGGTTTCCCCATGGACACGGGGGAGCTTCAGTTTGAGTTTATGTTAGTGGAAATACTTCATCCACTGGTTTGTTGATTAGAGTTAGGAAGTTGTTTAAACTTTGGAAACCCCAGAAAAACTTAACACTGTACTAGAAGAGCTCAGCACTGCCATTCATGGTTTATCTTCAGTCCTTTCTTGGTTACAAATCTTCTACTCCATGCTCTTGTGAAAACCTTTATGAAAAAGGATTTAAGGCTTCCGAATGGAGATATGTTAATGGTCCATCAAGGGGACATGTCTCTTTATGATCCGTTTGGAATTCTGAGCTGATAGGGGGAGATAAGACTAGAGTTGTGGAAACACTTGAGATCCCGACTTGTTCAGCTCTTTAAATAATCTGTTGTCTTGTATGCAGTTTGAACTTGTTCAACATTAGTGGATGCAAGTGACTTCTCTTTCCATGAAAAATCTGGTTTCTTATATTATACTTTTTTCTGCTTCATGTTTGTTTCTGATCATATGACCATGGACAAATTGTCTGAGCTACTGACAGTACATCGCTTTACTGCTGCAATCATTTAGCATAGATGCATTGCATTTTGATATCTTGGTTGCCATTCCACCATATTTTCTTATTAATCTACCATCGCATCACCTCCTCTTTTTTGTAACTTTTCAGGTGGCCAAATGATCACTGACCTAGGCCTGTGGGGAAATTACTCTGTCCCTGGAGATAATGCATTTTCTGAAGACAATGGATTGGAGCCTGAAATCTGGGCACTAGGATTAAGAAATCCTTGGCGATGCTCTTTTGATGCAGAGAGGCCTTCCTACTTTCTCTGTGCAGATGTTGGCCAGGTTAGCCTGGCCTCCTCCCAGCTAGAATAGATTTGAAATAAGATTTTTGGTGGTTGATAATGCTGCCTGCTGGAAGCTGTCTTTCATCTTTATTTTTTTTAATCGTACACTACAAGCTTTCCTGCATTTTTTTTGTTGATATCATTTTCTTTTTTCTGAGATTACTAATGAAGGGAGAAGGGTCTTAATCTTATAGGATCAATATGAAGAGGTAGATCTCATCACCAAGGGTGGTAACTACGGATGGCGTGTTTATGAGGGTCAAGTTCTGTACCATCCCCCAACTGCTCCAGGGGGGAATACATCTGTGAGTTCCATAAATCCAATATTTCCTGTAATGGGATACAACCACTCAGAAGTAAACAATGAAGAAGGATCTGCATCAATTACAGGAGGCTATTTCTATCGATCAATGACTGATCCATGCATGCATGGAAGGTGAGTAAGCTTGATTCTTATTACTTTAGTTTGACCAATTTGGAAAGTTAAATTACTTCTTAAACTCTTTAGCTTGTTTGCCAAGATTGAAGAGATACGAAATATAATAATGCGTCGCGAGTCGTTCCGTTTGGCGTCTTGCAAATCAATAGCATTAGCACAGCAATTGAATGAAAACGATGGTGGTGATGATTATACCATCTCCTCCTTGTAATCTTAATATATAATCTATGCCATATCTGTAGTCAACCTGGAACTCTTCCTGCGAATAAAAGTCAAAACATGGGGATTGATCCAAGTTAATGAGCTCTTTCTTCTTCTCCTCCTGACAAACCATGGTTGGTTGCAGATACCTTTTTTCGGATTTGTATGCTGGAGCAATATGGGCTGGAACAGAGAACCCGAAAGATAGCGGGAACTTCACAAGCACTAAGCTTCCTGTTAGTTGTGCCCATGACACTCCTATCCCATGCACGCCGGCAGCAGGGAGTTCTTTCCCTTCACTGGGATTCACATTCTCTTTTGGTCAGGATAACAGGAAAGACATGTTCATTTTAGCCAGCAGTGGTGTATACAGAATAGCTCGTCCTAGCAGATGCAGTTACGTTTGCTCATTGGAGAATGTCACAGCTCCTGTTCCCTCCTCCCCTTCCCCTTCTGCCGGAGAACGTCTCAGCAAACCACTAACAGTGCTGCTAAATATTCTTTCCTCTGCTTCGTTGTTGATATTATTGAACTTTCAACATATATTATATCTGTAATCAGAGGTGCTTCGTAGATTCATGCATGACATGAAATTATTTATATATATATAAAACAGAAGCAACTGATAATTAGAAAATCTCTTTCCAAATTTTCTGGCGATGGATAAAGCGTGTGTTACGTAACACGGGTGTTAATCAGAATTGAGATGAACAGTTCAATAAATTATTATTATTATTATTATTTTAATTGTTTAAATTGGGGGCCTAAAGAGAAAGACACATAATCATTGCAAGCCTGAAACCAAAGCCAAAATTCATCAAAATCAGATGGTGTCTGGAGCAAAAGCTCTTCCTGATTCGTAATGTACTGTACAAGGAGATGGTTGCTGCTGGATCCATTATTAAAAAGCAATTTTTAAAAATGTTTTTTTGTTTAAAAATATTTAAAAATAATATTTTTTAAGTCAAATTAGGCAATATATTCTCAAACTTAAAGGACTAAGTTTTTATTACATTCAACATAGAAGGAGTAAAGTATAATTTACTGCAACTGCTTTAACTATAAACAAAAACGAAACCACCTTCACTGCATCAAAAAAAACTCTCACAAATGCCTCCCCTCTCGTTACCTGCTACTTCCATGCAAGTACTAGATCCCCTCCCATCTTCCAACATCTTCCTCCCACTTTTACCCCTTATCAAGATCCATATTTACACCACCATCTCAAGAAAACCCAGAAGAAGAGCCCGCTCTCTCCTCCTGTATGCAGCCAGAAAAGATATCTGGACAAGAAACACAACGACAGTACCTTACCGTAGAAAACAAAGACAAGAACCGGTTTATTTAGACCACAGTGTAGATATGACCGAGCTATTACTCTCAATTAGCCAAACCCAGAACGAGCAACAACTATACTCTTTATTATCGCCTTATAAAGACAGGCAGCTCTCAATTCGATTCATGGTTTCAGTTATCTCTCGCGAATCTGACTGGCAAAGATCCCTTGCCCTTCTTGATTGGATTAATGATATCGCACAGTATTCCCCTTCTGTGTTTGCATACAATGTTGTTCTGCGTAATGTTTTAAGGGCTAAGCAATGGGACCATGCCCATGGCCTGTTTGACGAAATGCGTAACCGAGCTCTTGCACCGGATAGATATACGTATTCCACTTTGATAACCCATTTTGGGAAAGCGGGCATGTTTGATGCTTCCCTATTTTGGCTTCAACAAATGGAACAAGACCGTGTTTCGGGTGATCTTGTTTTGTACAGTAATTTGATTGAGCTTTCAAGGAAGTTGTGTGATTATTCTAAGGCTATTTCGATATTTATGAGGCTGAAAAGGAGTGGGATTATGCCGGATTTAGTTGCATATAATTCGATGATTAATGTATTTGGAAAAGCTAAGTTGTTTAGAGAGGCAAAGTTGTTGGTGAAGGAGATGAGGGAAGTGGGGGTTATGCCTGATACAGTTAGTTATTCGACGCTGTTGAGTGTTTATGTTGAGAATGAGAAGTTTGTTGAGGCCTTGTCTGTTTTTGCAGAAATGAATGAGGCCAAGTGCCCCCTTGATCTCACGACGTGTAATGTCATGATTGATGTTTATGGGCAGCTTGATATGGCTAAGGAAGCTGATAGGTTGTTTTGGAGCATGAGGAAGATGGGAATTGAACCGAATGTTGTTAGTTATAATACCCTCTTGAGAGTTTATGGAGAGGCCGAGCTTTTTGGTGAAGCTATTCATTTATTTAGGTTGATGCAGAAGAAGGATATCGAGCAGAATGTTGTCACTTATAATACTATGATTAAGGTTTATGGGAAATCACTTGAGCATGAAAAGGCCACAAATCTCATGCAGGAAATGCAGAATAGAGGAATTGAACCAAATGCCATTACATACTCAACAATCATTTCTATTTGGGGTAAGGCAGGGAAATTGGATAGGGCAGCAATGTTGTTTCAAAAGCTGAGAAGTTCAGGGGTTGAGATCGATCAAGTCCTTTATCAGACAATGATTGTGGCTTATGAACGTTCAGGTTTGGTTGCTCATGCTAAGCGACTGCTTCACGAGCTCAAACACCCAGACAGTATCCCTAGGGAAACTGCTATTAAAATTCTTGCCAGAGCTGGTAGAATAGAAGAGGCCACATGGGTTTTTCGTCAGGCTTTTGATGCTGGGGAGGTGAAGGATATATCTGTGTTTGGATGCATGGTTGATCTTTTTTCAAGGAACAGAAAACCTGCAAATGTGATTGAGGTGTTCGAAAAGATGAGGGGAGCTGGATACTTTCCTGATTCTAATGTGATTGCTCTTGTTCTGAATGCTTACGGGAAGTTGCATGCATTTGACAAGGCGGATGCTTTATATAAGGAAATGCAGGAAGAAGAATGTGTTTTTCCAGATGAAGTTCATTTCCAGATGCTGAGTTTGTATGGTGCTAGAAAAGACTTTATGATGGTTGAGGCCTTGTTCGAGAGGCTGGATTCTGATCCTAACATTAACAAGAAAGAGTTGCATCTTGTTGTTGCCAGCATTTATGAAAGAAACGATAGATTAAATGATGCATCACGGATCATGAACAGGATGAGTAAAGGAGGCGTTTTGAGATCACCAGCATAGAAGTATGAACATGCCCTTGGCCTTGTAGATTTTGCCAACTGTTGTAGATTGCCTTTTGCTGTGCTGATTATTTTGTAAATATTTTATCTGGGCCTCTTGCTTTCCTACCTTCTCATATGTGAAGATGGTAATGGTGCATAAACCAGGCTTTTTACCTGATGATACATTTACACTTTCGATATCTTTTGCCTTCAGTTTCTAACGCCTAATTGAGACGAGAGGCAGGATCAGGAAGACTTGTTTGCATCTGGATGGAGACGAAGTGATTTGAATGGTTTACCATTTCTTGGCCTACTGTTGCAATTGGACATAGAAAGATACGGATATCCCTTTGAATTCACCATTTCTTTGTTGTTCGAGTCTTCGTGTTTGCCAAATCAAAACGTAGAGCTTTGATGAATGTGGCGATGGTGGAATCCGTTGCTCCACCTAAACTGTTGGAATTTAAAATAACATCAACAGGATATGGCGGCAGCAATTTTTATATATATATATATATATATATATATATATATATATATATATATATATTTTCAACGTCATTTTTTTAAATGTATAGAGGAAAGACTAGACTCCATTCCTGCTTCGCCGCCACGAGATGAACTATATTTTTTGCACAAAAAAATGATATTCAGCTATTGTAAACATGTTTTTTATTTTATTTTTATATATAAATAATATATAACTTGAGTTATTGGCCAGACTGGATCAAGTAAGTTGGGTTTAATTCAATTAGATAAGAAAAAAAACATTATAAATCAAATTTGAAGAGAAAAATGAGTAGGATAATTTGAGGATTTTTTTTTTAAAAAGAGACAAGCAATATATTTTAATTCACAATCCATTAAATACAAAAAAAAAAAAAAAACAAAGTAAAAAAAACCGGTCCTAATTAACTCGAGTTAGCATAACAAATATATAACCCTAATAATTAGGACTGAGTCAACCTGAGATATTGTGCCAAAATCGTACCTAGATTATGAGATTAGAATAACTCAAAAGAGAAAAAAATATAAAGCCTTTGTTATTTTAAAAAAATCATGTTAACTTTTCAAATCTATGACTCGAGTCAATACACCTGAAGCATCCTATTTGAAAAAATCATAAAGTTTAATTTCTAATCAATCAAACATTGAAAGATAAAATTAAAAAAGAAATTTTAATTATACAAAATGATTTAAAAAAGAAATTAAAAGGATAAAGATCAAAATTCAAATACCAAATAAATTTTATATTTGATTGAATGATGAAATTGAAAAGAAAAATTAATTTAGCAAAAAAAAAAATCAAAAGAATGAGGATTAAAATTGATATAAAAATTGTTGCAACCCAATTTTGGCCTATTGACTTGTAATTTAATTTTACGATGTTTAAAATGCAAAATGAAAAGATCAATAATTTATTTGTCAACTTGCGCAGAAATTAGGGCTTACAATGTGTTTTTGTCATTCTATCCGTATCTTTAAGATAATAATAGTTATCTGCTGTTGAATTTGATTTTTAATCAAATTCAAACTTTGAAGAAGAGAATAAGTTTGATTTAGATTTTATTTCTCGTAAGCGATAAGACTCTTGCACTATAAATATAGATATCAGTGTATGCAGAACAAGGGGGACGATTAGAAAAAAACCCAAGACAAGGCCATTATCAAAAACCCTAAAAGAAAGAAACATAAAAAAGGAAGAGAGGAGGGGGCGGCGAACCCTATACTAGCCGCCCCCTTTAGCCCCTTTCATTTTCTTTCCTAACTTGGCCTCCCTCGCTTCCATACCCCTCATCCCTTTCGTCAAATCTTGATCAACCCCACAAACACACACATAATGGCTACTGCTACCCACGACTTGGGTTCCCCGAGTCATATCTAGAAGACGTGAGAAGAAACAAATGTTAATAAATGTCAGTTGATACATGCAAGTAAAAAGTTTCTTCTCTTAACAAGTAGGAAGGATGCTCGTTTTGTTAAAATCAAAAGAAGCAAAGAGCTTTTGCACTAGGGGAAAAAACGTTTTGTTTGTGTAAGAGGCTAGTGGGAGTGAAGTCGAACATGGACCTTGATGCTGTGACAAGGTACCTTATTCCTCTTGTATTTAACTTTCCCCTTATTTAGACGTTTCTCAACAGCCCAGTCAACCTACACCACTTACAACAGCAGTGTCATCTTCAGCACCGTGGGCAACCACAAGACCCATAACCGACTAGCAACAAAAAAGAAAAATAAGGACCAGACCACCCCATCAGCGACTCTCTTTCTAAACAGACCTAGTGATTAATAGTTAAAAGTGTATTTTTATCAAGGTTTTATATTATCATTTTGCACTTGAAGTATCAATAACTCCTTAACTAAAACATGTTTTATAATAA